TTAATCACTGTGGAGAGACTTGAATACTAGGTTAAGGGCATTGGACTTTATTCTGTAGGTACATGAAGAGTTTGTTGGGGGAAATGTTAGCAGTGAATTGATAAGAATATGCATCAGAAGGGTGAATTTTGGGAGACAGTGGAATATAGGATACATCAAAAAGATATGAGACTGGAAGGAGGAAATGAGTTCGGCTTCTGAAATAATCTGATACCATCAAGTTTTTGATGAGACTGATGTGACTACTTGATTCCAGCAGGGGCCACTTGAAGCAGGGATACATCCAGCATCATTTTCTCTGTATAGTATGTATAACCTACCACTGCAGTTAGAAAGGCAGCCCAAGTTACGTGACTTTGAATATCGCTGTCAATGTCAACTACTGATGAAAAAGAAACAATTGATAAGGGAATTTTAAAAAATCATAATTAGAATATATTTTGTTTTTTTTTTTATTAGAGGCAAATGTGATTGCATTTTAAATATACGCCTTCCTGCTAAACATAATTCATGGAAATAAGTGCAGGGCAGCAAATTGGTCCAATATATAATTACAAAACCTGAAATTGAAGGGTCCTCAGCAGTAAGCTATTCTAATCCATACCTGAATTGGAATCCCCTTTACAACATGTGATAAATAATCATCTATCTTTAATAACATGTGATATCTAACCCTAACCCTAACCCTAACCCTAATTTCATGTAATTTAATGACTTAGGACTTATAATTATCAGCTTCCCATGTAAGAATGTAAAAATTTTAACATTATTCATTCCCTTATTTCTTTTTTCATATTTATCATTTTATCCTTCTCTTGAGTCTTATATTTAAAAGTAAATTTTCTATTTAGCTCTAGCCTTTTCATCAGGAATGCTTGAAATTCCTCTATTTCATTAAATGTCAATTTTTCCCCTGAAGGATTATACTCAGTTTTGCTGGATAGGTTATTCTTGGTTGTAATCCTAGTTCCTTTGTCCTCTAGAATATCATATCCTCAGCCCCCCACTCCTTTAATGTGGAAGCTGCTAATTATTTTGTGATCCTGACTGTGGCTCCATGATATCTGAATGGTTTCTTTCTGGCTGCTTACAATATTTTCTCCTTGACCTAAAAGCTCTGGAATTTGGCTATAATATTTCTGGGAGTTTTCATTTTGCAATCTCTTTTAGGAAATGAATGGTATGTTCTTTCAACTTTCATTTTACCCTCTTGTTCTTGGATATCGGGACAGTTTTCCTTGATGATCTCTTGAAATATGCCTAGGTTCTTTTTTTTTATCATGGCTTTCAGGTAGTTCAGTAATTCTTAAGTTATCTCTCCTTGATCTACTTTCCAGGTCACTTATTTATCCAATGAGATATTTCACATTTTCTTTTATTTTTCTTTTTTATTTTGTTTTATTGGTTCTTGGTGTCTCATTGAGTCATTAGCTTCCAGTTGCCCAATTCGCATTTTTTAGTAATTATTTTCTTCTGTAAGCTTTTGTACTTCTTTTTTAATCTGCTTTTCAAGCTGTTCTCTTCAGTGAATTTTTGTGCCTCTTTTACTGAACTTTTCTCTCCATAATTTTCTTTTGCAACTCTCATTTCTCTTCCTAATTTTTCCTCTACCACTTTGATTTTTAAAATCCTTTTTTGAGTCCTGGTAGGACTTCTTTTTGGGTTTGTATCCAATTCACATTTTTCTTTGAATCTTTGTGTGCATCTGGCTTGATATTGTTGTCTTCTGGGTTTATGTCTTGATCTTCCCTGTCACTCAAATAACTTCTTATGGTCAGGTTCTTTTTTGCTGTTTGCTCATTTTTCTATCCTATTCCTTAACTTTATGTTAAAGTTGATGTGGTGTCCCAAATGGGGAAAAGCTATGCAATACAGGAATAAATGAAAAGCCATAAAAACTTAAACTCTGTGAAAGGTGGAAGCCTGAACATGATGACCTGTTAACAATCATAACTTAGATACTGAATTATATTTTAGATACTTAGTCATAACTTAAGATACTATGACTTATGAAAGCCATAACAAGAATATCATGACCTATATGTGATGGGACATGATCAGTACACAAACTTGTTTGAGCATAACATTGGCTTAAAACTCCCAAGCTCATTATTAAGCAGAAAACCAAAAATATCCACTAATCAGGAGTGATGCACTCTCTAACTCCTCCCCCCTTTATCTCTTTTCTATAACTACCATGCAGATTTGGGGGGGTTCTTTGGCAGGGATCCAATGAACTGTCTGGCTGCCACCACAGACCAATGATTTTACTTGTTTTGTAAGTGTCCATCATGATTGATTAAATTGCTACCTATAATCAATCTGAAGATAACTGGCCTCTTCCTCTGGTATCAAAAGAATACCCCATGGTTATGGTGGAGGTACGGAGCTCACGATGCAGGGGAATTTCAAACCTTACACTTTGGTTCTGCTCCTGGGGTAGAGAGAATGCAGTCCCAAACTTCAGGACTTTCTTGCTGCCTTGTTCAGAGCTGTCTCTGGGAGTCTGTAGGTTTTCAATGCTCCCAAGGTGATATTCTTTGAGGAAATGTGTGATCACAGCTTTTCTTGTCTATGCTCTGATCTTTACCCAAGAAGGGATCTGGTTTCCCTGTATCCACCAGTGTTAGCATTTCTCTTGACTCTGGGACTGTGACCAGATCCTTCGCTCTCCTGTATCTTTATTTGCTAGTGTTCCCCTTTGACTTGGAATTGAGACCAAAATCCCTACTCCCCCATGAGCGAACACACGCAGTTCTTCTCCACCATAGAACCTCAACCTGTGCCTGTATTTCCCTGCATAATTGTCCAACCCCTTTACAGTCTGTGGGATAAGAGTCTCCAAAGCTACTGCTGTGCCATGTAGCCACCCCCAAGGTAGAGCCTGTGCTATCTGTGCTGTGCTCTGGGTGCCCACCACCACCCTGCTGAGACACCTTTCCTGCTGCCCTCCTAATATGTCTGGAATGGAAAATTACTTCACCTGACTTTTGTTGGTTTGTGGCTCCAGAATTCGATGATTATTTTAGAGTTGTTTGGCAGGGAGTTTGGGAGAGCTCAGCTGAGTGCTTCTCTACTTTGCCATCTTGGCTCCTCTCCTTCCCCTAATAGTCATTTGTTACGCATATACAATGTGAGACAGCCCTTTACTCAAGGAGTTTATATTCTATTGAGAAGTTAAAATATCACAAATATGGATATAATAATTTGTGGAAAGAGCACTACCTCTGGGGATCTGAAAAGTCTTTCTCTAAGTGACATTATGTAAGCTGGACTTTGATATAACCTCAAGGATAATTAGCAATGTAGGTAAAGAAGGGAATGTGTTCTAGCAATGGAGAGAGGACATGTGAAGTGTTGGCAGGAGATTGAATTCTGAGTTCAGGAAATGACAGAAAGGCAAGAAAATAAAATATCTCTAGCTATATCTCGCAGTTTTTATTATGTCACCAACAAATTTAACATTCAAAAGACTCATAGATACAGTCACCTTCTTAATAGAATTTTTCTTTTGAGTTATATAAAGATATATTTCTATATTTTATTTATATGTATTTTTATATTTATGTATATTTATTATCAAATATATATTATTTGAAGTTTTTTCTGCTTTTCTCTCTCTTTCCTTCTCCTCCCTTCCTGTACCCTCCCCTCTTTTTTTCCTTTTCCCTTCTTTACTCTTTCTCCCTTCTTTCTCCTTTCCTCCTCTCTCCTCTCCTTCCCTCTCCCCCTTCTCCTTTCCAACCCCTCCCTCACCCATATGTCTAATGTTTTATATAAAAACTCATTATTATGTAGCAATATCAGAATTTGAACCAAGGGGCACAATTTCCAAGCTAGTGCCATTTCTACTACATCAGACCTAGGACACAGGATATAAATTAAACCAGCAAATAAGGATTTAAGTCAATGTAAAAGGACAGAAAGAGAAAAGTCAGAGCTTTCATGTCAGTTTTGAAAACAACAAGCTGGAATGAGAAATTCGATATACCTGATAGTTATTTATTCAGTAAGAATTTATTTATTTAAACATTTAGTATGTACAATTTGATGCTAAAGATCCAAAGACAAAAACAAAAACCTAGGCAATTTACAGTTGGCATTTTACCTGTGGTATGCACTTTCTTTTTTTCTTTAAGGCAATTGGGGTTAAGTGACTTGTCCAGGGTCACACAGCTAGTAAGTGTCAGGTGTTTGGTCTGAGACCAGCCGGTGTGGGTATGCACTTCTTCATGGGTTTAGAATTGTATTTGTGCTCTGTACCCTATATCCTTCTTCAGAGTACAGAGTTGAGAACCAAGATAACGGAATTTCTTTGGTTTAAACAAAAGAGGTTTTTCATGTGATTGTTATTCAATTTGACAAATCTTTATTAAATTCCTATTGTGTGCAAACATAATGTTGGAAGTAGAGGGTGGGATAAAAAGTTTAGATAAGACAAGTTACTTGAATCTTTCATTTTAGAAGGAACATGTGACTTATACTCAGATGAAATATATTTTTTATAAATGACAGTTAAATGCAACAGGGAGGTATGTCAGTTCCGAGGGAAAGTAACTCACTACACTTCTAGATGTTTCTATTTCAATGTGAAATATGTCTAAAAGTTGAAGACAGGACTGGCTGCCTAGTGGGGTAAGAAGGAGGTAGTATTGCATAATGGGGAGAGTAATTATTTTGGAATTGGAAGCCCATGGTTCAGTTCCCAACCCTGACATTTATTATATATGTGATCTTGGACAAATCTTTTACTCCTTCTGGGCCTCAGTTTTCCCATTTGTAAAAAGCAAGGCTTGGAATTTATGATTTCTCACATTTATTACCTCTCTAGATTCTGTGATACTAAGAAATATGGAAAGGGGAGGACAGGAAAAATCTCACCTACTGTACTCTTCTGCCTGGTATTCAGCCTTTATATATGGTATAAATCTAAATGAGTTTCTAATATCCTAGGTAATTCAGAGGTAATAAATTATCTTATTGATTTTCTTTCCAAATAGATTATTATTATTATTTGGAAGGACAAAAGGATGCTCTTCTTTGTGGCAACAGCACATATACAGGGTGAGTAGTATTGAATTATGTTGTTTTGCTCTATAGATTATATCAGGTTGTGATGTAACATGAGTCAGATATTCTTTCTTTGAGTGTCTGCAATGTACAAAACATTGTGTTGGGATGTGATGTGAAGGATATGAAAAGGTCTAACATAATACAACAGCACCCCCACTTTATTCAACACTCACAGTTTAAGCCCTTTTCTAACAGTGAACTTCTTGAGGTAAGGAATGCCAGTATTCTTAACACCTCTTTATAGATAACCTGAGGCTATGATGGTGACTTAACTATATTCATAGGGAGTCATAAAATTTTACAGTCAGAAGGGGTCCTAAGAAGACATCTACTTCAGTCTATAAATGAAAGAAGAGTCTCCATCAGAACATACTTCAATAGTTACCTTTGAACATTTGCTTGAAGATTTTCTAGTGAGGGGGAATTCACTGTTTTCTAAAGAAGACCATTCCACTTTGGGTAGCTCTGCTAGTTTCGTTGTAACTTCTTGGTTCTATACTTCACAGCATTACTGTATGGAATGCGAGGATTGTGATGTAAGCCATGCTGCTTCCTTTACACATACACACACACACACACACACACACTCTTCCCCACTATCATTTTAGTATAAAAATTCCTACTACAGATATTTTTCAAGGACCTGTAATATTTCATGAACTATATGGGGCTTTCCTAGGGATGCAAAGATAGGTAAACATTGCCCCTGCCCTCAAGGTGCCTATCTAATGATAAAAACAGTGGGGCAGAGTTGGGTGTGTGTGTGTGTGTGTGTGTGTGTGTGTGTGTGTAACTGAACTTGCTAAAAGGTGATATAATGGTTTCAAGCCATTCTAAATAAAAATAGGTAGCTTCTAATCTTACCATTTCTTATGTGTTCAGGTACTATTTGTAGATGGCTTAAGTGCCAAGAAGCTTAGGTCAGTCTCAACAAATGGGGATTATGGGTTTGACTTAAAGATATAACTGAAGATAAAACCCATACACAATAGTAGAGCTCTATTTTCAATTTTTTTTTCAATTTTGAATCATTTTTTTTGTTTTGTTTTGATTTTTTTTTTTGGTGAGGCATTTGGGGTTAAATGACTTGCCCAGGGTCACACAGTTAGTAAGTGTCAAGTGTCTAAGGCCAGATTTAGAGCTCTATTTTCAAACTTATACATTTTATTCTGTTGGATGCAACTTTTTCTTAACAAGTAGTGAAATCTTTCATTGGTTTTTCATTGCCTGCCCAAGAAAATACTATCCTACCAAAGGAAGGATAAGTCCTTCAGAGTCTGATTTAAATTTACTTTTTTGCATGTTACTCCCCTTCATGCACTTTATATTCCAGTCAAATTGGATTTTTCAGTAATTCACCAATCTTGTCCAATCTTCTGCGAAACAATTCTTTGAGCAAAAAGTCCTCAGTGGAATTTCTTCAACCTCTATCCCATCTCTACTTATTTAAATTGTTTTCTTCCTTCAAGGATCAGCTCAGGAAATTTCTAGCCATTACAACTTCCTTGTCATCTTCAGAAGAAATAACTATTCCTTCCTTTCTCCTTTCATTTTTTACCCCCTTCAAAGTATTTCATCATTATGTAACTTGCATTATCATTTGATGCATGTCTCATCTCTCTCTCCCCTCAAATACTAGATAATAAACTTTTCAGGGGCAAGAATTATGTCATTAGTCTCTGCATATAAACAAAGCCTAGCACATGTATTGTTTATGGTGCTTAAAAGATATTTATCGAATGAAATGAGATTTAACTGAAGGACAAGTTAGTGCACAATTAAAAGTTTTGCAAGAACCTTTGAATCATTAAGTCATATACTTAGACATTTAGACCTAGAAGGGAAAGTCCAGGTCATCTAGTCTAAACCCTATATTTCACAAAGGGAAGTACAGAGAGGTAAGTGATTTTCCTAAGTTCATATGGGCAGAAAGTGGCCTTTGGAATTTCAACATTAGATCTAGTGCTTTTTCTACTGAACCACATGGAGAAACTGAACCTGTGATTTCTTTGATACAGGGAACTCCAAGGTAAAGGAACTTCCTCTACTAATGCAAATAGTCACTTCTTTGTAATTAATAGAGCTGGAGAGTTACTCTACAGTATTAAGAGGTTAAATGACTTGCCGAGGTCCCCTAGTCAGTCAAGTGCCAAAAGTAGGACTTGAACCAACTCTTCCTGGGTTAGAGATCAGCTTTCTTTTCACTATGCCATAATAATTACCAACTTAAAGGATTGTTTGAACTTATTTGTAAGATACATAGACTAATTCAAAATTCGTCTCACTCTACATGCTTTATTGGTTAGGGATTTAGTTTGTTTGTAGTAGCTGAAAGCAGTTGTAGATTAACATTTGGTAATGAGTCCCATATTTGGATGTGATACTTTGTCTTAAAATTTAACTCCCTGTTATTGATTACCTGTGATGTGACATAATCAGAAAGTGAATAATTTCTCTTTTTTTATTTGTATAGTGAGTGTCCAGAGGGATACATGTGTGTGAAAGCTGGCATGAATCCTGATCACGACTACACAAGTTTTGATAATTTTAGTTGGGCTATGTTGACCCTATTTAGATTAATGACCTTGGACTATTGGGAAAACCTTTACCAACAGGTGAGAGCTTAGCAAAACACTATATTTTTATGCATAAAAAATTCATATCACTTTATCTTTAATTATCATCTTAATGTGAAACACTTTTACATTGTTTTTTATGGTTGATTTTAAAAGAGTTAATCTACTTATTACAGTATTAAAACTGCATTTGTGTTGTACTTTCAGAAGCAGTGATCACCTTATTTTATTCTGAGGCTATATATTTTATCACATCTTTTTTCCCTTGTTTGGAATTATATAGAGTTTTTAATCAATCAAATGAGAAGTACTTACTATATTACAGGAATAATGCTAGAAGCTATGGGTTAAAGAACAAATAGTGACACTCTGCCTATTCACAAGGAGCTTACATTCTAAGCAGAGATTCAACAGCTACCTGTACATCATAAATATAAAGTGAGTAGATATAAATATAGGAAATATTGTTAAATGGAGGATAGTTTTAGAGAGAGAACTTCATGCAGAAGACAGTCTTTAAGCTGTGTCCTAAAGGAAGAGAGGGTTTGAAGAGAGGCAGAAGTAAGAAGGGACTGTATTCTAGCTGTGTGGAATAGCTAGCATAAAGGCATGGAAGCAGGAGATGGCAGGGTTGGGTGGATCACAGTGTGTGAGAGAGGTAGGAATGTCTCATGAGGATGAAATCTGGGTTAGAACAATATTATGTAGGCCTTTAAAATAGAAAGGGTTGTATATTTTCATAGGGGCAATGTGAAGGAACCAGACTATATTGAGTAAGGGAATCATATGTCCATATCTGTGTTTAAGGGAAAGTACTTTGGCCGTTGTGTGTAAGATGGGTTAGAGTAGAGAGAGGGACAAGGCAGGGAGACCAGTTAGAAGGCTTTTGCAATAATCTAGATGAGAGGTGATGAAGGGACTTCTATGTTTTGTGAAAATTTAACAAGAAAGCAATTCTAAATTCACAGAACTATGCATATGCATGCACATGTGCACACACATGTAGAACTGTAATCAAAGAATCTTATCTGATACCTAGTTGAGAAAACACAAAGAAACCTAGTGAAACCATATTTGCTTAAATTTTAAAATGTTTTAGTGATGGTGTGGAGGCGTGATTGGTTATATACAAATAAGAGGTTAAAGAACCAACAATCCAGGCTGCCAAAGAGTGGCCCCTGTGGTCATGTATGATTTAGGACAGTAAATACCTGTTTACTAGGTGAAATACTACATTATAAGGATGTTCAGTTTGGTGATGATGGACTTGTGTTAGTCCAGGAGATTGTGTCTGCTTAGCAGGACACCTCCATGGTTGGAGGTCTTTCTAGTACATCAGCTTGTTCTAGGGCTTCTAGAGTTTCCTCTAACAGCATTCTGGTAAGATAGTGAGTATAGACACTTTCTCCAGAGCTCATTCTGCATGTGGAGTGTGTGTCTTATTGGTGGAGTCAGGTCATACTAATTGCTGGTATATATCCCATTCCCTGCACAGAGTAATTGAAGGCTTCAGTCAGCTTCCCAGTCTGAACCACTTGAGGCGGGCCTCCACAGTTTGCCATCGTTAGCAAAGTTGGGTTCTTAGGATCCAGATAAAGATGCATACAACCACTACTCATACTGTGGCTGTCTTCTTCCACCAGTACTGTGGGACACCTCAGTGTCTTTGCTTTCCTGTCATTGTTGTTCACAAAGGGTCTCACAATCTTCAAGTCTCTGTAACTCATGGGCACCCACCATATGCCTTCAGTATAGCTGGAGGTATGCTTCACTTCCCTCGCTGCCTTCTCATTCTCTCCTTTCCAGTTCTGGAACCATAATCCCTACCTCCCCATTTAAGTAGTGTCTCACCCGCCTACTTTTTGTTTTAACATTGATAACGTTTTAGTTGCGATCATAGAATCATAGACGTAGAACTGGAAAGGAGCTTAGAAGTTATATAGGCCAATACTTTTATTTTATGAATAGAGAAACCTGAATTACCCAAGATGACACAAATAATAAATAAGTGGCAGATCCAGGATTTGTCCAGATCCAATGGTTACTCCATGTGATGTTAATGTTTTTATTTCTTTAAATATATAACCTTATTTTTCAGTGTGTACATAGGGTGAGGTGATGTTAAAACACCTGGTCTTTCCATTGATTGCCTATCCAGGAGAGTAAAATGTTTAAATAAAGATAAATCACTTTAAAATTTACTTGTCTTGTTAAGAAATAAAATAAAAATGAAAAAATAGAAAAACAAACAATTTTTCTTTTCTCTTTTTTCAGATCCTACGTGCTTCTGGGAAGACATATGTGCTATTTTTTGTTGGCATAATTTTATTCTGCTCCTTTTATCTGATGACTTTGATCTTAGCTGTGGTCATCATGTCTTATGAAAAACAGAATCGAATAACTATTGAAGAAGCTAAGAAAAGAGAGATAAAATACCAGGCACTGTTATATCGGCAGAAAAGAGAAGAAAAAAAAGCTCAGGTATTATCACTGTGACTTTAACATCTTCGTATAAACATAGGGGTAAAACTAACCACCAGAGACTCTGTCATTTTTCATTCAGCCACCAAATAGATGTTAACTTATTATTTCATTATTCTAAATTAATTCTACCTATTATTAACCCAGAAACATAGTTGAAAGAATCACAATAACTAGGCAAGAATGATCCACTAGAACCTTTCATGACCCTGATTCTCTGCCCATAGACTTCGATTACAATGTGGAGTTCTGTGTCAATCTCACAACCCAGGTGCTATAAACTAGGAGTTTTTCAAACTCCTGCCTTCACATTCTTTGCTTCTATCTGGTAATATCTATTTTGGCTATTCATAGATAAGTAGGTTGAGAGAAGGGATATATATAGATAGATAGATAGATAGATAAATATAGCTATAGATATGCATATATAAATATATGCATATACATATCAATAAAGCAATCAAACTATTATGAAGGCACCTGTATGATGTGTGTGTGTGTATATATACGTATGTGTATATATATATATGCATATAAACGCACACACATATATATATATATATATATATATATACACATACATACATATGCATCTACACATAGACTCATACACATGTATGTTTCTGTAGTAGACACAGATACCTAGGTTGTGAGACTGATAACAGAACTCCTCATTCTAATAGAACATTTTGGTTGTCAGATAGTTACAGTCCAGCATATAGTACACAACTTGCTAATGAGCCATACAGATAATAGAGTACATTGCCAGACTCATTATACATGGATATCAGCTTCAACTTCATTTATTTCTAGTGTTTATATTAGCAAAAGAATTAAATATGGAAAGAAATTATTTCATTCAATAAATGTGACTTAGGAGAGTCTTACTGATTCAATAATAAAGAAATAGGTATGTGTGCTATAATCTTGGGGTACTCCAGAACAATATCAGAATGGGAAATAACAGGAATTCTTACATGATTGGATTTGGGAAAAAACATAAAATTCCTTACTATGTAGATAAGGCAAGTATTCTGACCACCAATCAAATCTGTTGTGCTGAATTAACTTACAGTGGTGTTTTATTGGATTTTTTTTGAGTGAATTTCTTGGTGTTGTTCCTGAACTACTTCTTTTTTTTTTTAAACTTTTTTATTTAACTTTTGGCCTGACAGGCAATGGTAGCAGAAGGAATAGCTGAAGATGAAAGAGTTGTTGATCAAAATATAGGACTTTCAGAAAATTATTCTGAAACATCCCAATGTAGCTCAAAAAATGATAATGGGAGAATGGACCAAAGGAAGAAAAACAATCAGGAGGACCAGCCTGATAGAGAAGAAAAAGAAATTGATCTAAAATTGCATAGATTTGAAACAGAAGAGTACATCAGAAGAAAGCTTTGCCATCATGGAATTAAAAAGCAGAGACTAACAAATAAGAGCAAGTTACCTTCTCCCCAGCAGGTACTGACTCTTACATAAACATTATTTAGATAAGCTGCTCTCTGAAAATTACTATTCTCATTTTTTTCCATTAGAGGGGAAATACATCTGTGGGTGCGTATGTATTTGTACACATATGTTTATCAAACTGTTCTACTGCTATTATTCCATGGGGAAAATATAAGTATTTTTCCTTATGAGCCTACTGATTTTTCAATGAGCTTGGGGTTTTAAGAAACACATAATCTCACTGTTGTGCACATTTGAAATGGGAAAATTTTCAAAGAGAAGTTTACTTTGGCTATGTGTATGGAAATGACATTATGAATATGGAATTATTTAAGGAAATGTTTTTAAGAACACAAAAGTAGCTAGGAAATATGAGAAAATAACAAGACATGACATTGTAAATGCTGAGGGTATAGTTGGTAATTAACAAGGGAATATTTCAGAATTGTATTACCTTGATGATAATAGGAAGAGATGGACATATACCTTTGGTAAAGCAAAGAAAAAAAAAGCATTTATTACGTACTTACAATATGTCAGTCACTGTGCTCAGTGTTGGGGATCCAAATACAAGCAAAAAGAAACACAGTCCATACCCTCAAGAAGCTTACAGTCTAATGGGGAAGACAACACACAAAAGAGAGCTGGAAGAGGGGGAAGGCTGAGAATGTACACACTAGGGGGCATGACAGTGAACGCTGAAAAATCAAAAGCAAGGAAGGAAGGAAATGAAGACTAACTGTCCTTAGCTCCTCCTCAAAATGAAGACTCAGCAGGAACTCTCCAAAGGGAGAACGGGGAAGACAAAACAGAGTGGTGTTCCAGGATTGAGAAGGCCACATGAATTGATGAATGTTGCAAGGAGACATTACAGATAAGGCATGGTGTTGAAATCCAAAGGCAGGAGGGGATGTGGAGAGTGCAAATAATGTTGATGTCAAAATTGGTCTCCCAGTTTCTGGCATCTTCGATGCTAATTAAGTCTTCATATGGTTTTCAAAATAATTTTGGAATCTGGGGAGTCTAAATCTTGACTCTAAAATTAAGTAGTCAGTATAGTCTTAAGCAAGTCGCTACATTTTTATTTGTTTCCTCAAATTTAAAATGGAGGAGGTTTGGATTAGATAACCTCTAAGATCATTCACAACACTAAATATAATATTCTATTATCTTAAGTTAAAGATCACTCTATTATCTTTCATCTGGCAAAGCAAGTGAGTTACTATCCAACCTCCTAGTGTGAATATCTTCACTTAATGGTTACTACAATTGCTTTATAAGGATCTAATTTCATTAGAATGAGGTATATTTCTATTGTAAGGTATATTAGGCTAGAGGAGTTTCCGTAAAGAAGATATTTTTAGTTCTTGTTGTAAGGAAAGATGTCTTTCATTTCAAGTTTTTAAACAAGAAAACTATAGGCATTTTTTTTTAAGTAGTGCAATTCATTTGTCAGGTTACTATTGGAAGTTAAGATGCTTAGGATAAGAGACCAACTAACTGATTTTAAATGAGAAGCAGAAAGAAATAAAGATACTTTCTGGAGCATACTTAATAGCTATCAACAATGACTTTCATACCAATAAGAAAAAATTGGCTTATCCCTGCTTTTCTACTCTATGCTCATACTCCATGCCCCAACTTCCATTTTGTTTTAATCTACTCCTGTTATTTCATCAGCACAGGGACTCCATGTATACTTCATCAAAGCAGATGTGCAGCTCTTTTATACGTTATAATATTACAAGATTGTCTGGAGGGAAGGGAGGCATGTCAAGAAGAGTGATGTATTGCTAGTATGTGTTAGTCAGGAATTGAACCCAGCCCTTTCTGACTCTAGGATTGGCCATTTGTTTAGGACACACCTACATATGTTCATGCTATAGTTAAGCAAATGGTGCTCTGTTTCCAGGGAGTACAACCCTCCAAAAACTGACAGGTTGTGAAATGAGTGTCTTCATGGTAACCCTTCATTTTATGTTTCTGTGGGTCCTCATGGAATATATTATATCTTTATTTAAAAGACAAGCAACATAAAAAAAAATCTGTTCATCATTATACATTCGAAGTGATAGCACATATTTCTTGTGGGTATTTTTTATGCCCAGATAGTAGATCTAAGTAAAACTAAGATCTAAGAAATAATTGAATGTCCATGTACATACATTTTCATGATATGGATTCAGCCACTTATATAAGGCAGTTCTCTCTATTGAATGAATGTGTTAAGACAGATAATTTAATTTATTTTGTGTTTTTTGATTCATAACCCTCTAAATATTCCAGGCAACTTCCTCAGACAATAATTTGCACAATGGTTGCATTGTTGGGGGAGAGGTTCATCCTCAGGTACTCCCTATTCCAATGAAATCACAGGATAAATGACCATAACCCACCAAAATAAAGACAAAAAGATTGGAATAACCTGTAAAGGTATAATTATTTATTTGTGAGTTGTTCAGTTGGCAGCTGGTGGTATGGTGGATAGAGAGCTAGGCTTAGTATCAGGAGGACTCAAGTACAAATCCAGCTTCACACACTCACTGTGTTAAGCCACTTCACCTTTGTTTGTGCCAGTTTCTTCAACTATAAAATAAAGATGATAATAACAACACCTAACCTTCCAGGGTTGTTATCTCAGATGAGATATTTGTAAAAAGTTCTTAGCACAGTGATTGGCATATAGTAGGTACTACATAAATGCTTATTCCCTTCCCTTTTCCTTCCTTTGGTGTACCATTTACATAGTAGCATTAGGAGCAAGTCACATGGATATAATAATTTAGAATTTACAAAGCACTTTCCTCATAATAGTATAATGTAGGTACTTTATTACTCTGCTTAGATTCAAAGAGCCTCTGAGACATTCCTATGGTTAATCAACTACTAACTATCAGAGCTAGGATTTGAATTATTACTCTCTGAATAATTCTAACCCCTGCCTACTATATTATGCTGCCTCTCATTGCCCCTCAGAGGCTAGGATGAGATGATTTTTTTGAATGATTTATAAGACTGTGAATTATTTTTAATAGTATTTTAATTTTTCATGATTTTAAGTCAAGACAATTTTTACATTCATTTTTACAAGATTTTGAGTTTCAAATTTTTTCCATCCCCTCCTCTTTTTCTAAAATGGTAGGGAATTTGATATAATTATACATGAACTATCATATAAAACATATTTCCATATTAGTCACAGTTGTGAAAGAAAAAAAAACAGATCAAAAGAAAAAAAAACATGAAAAAGAATAAAGTAAGTGGGAAAAGTAGGCTTCTATCTGCTTTCGGAGTCCATCAGTTCTTTATCTGGATCTGGATAGCATTTTCCTTTGTGAGTCCTTTGTACTTGTCTTGGATCATTGTGTTGCTGAGAAGAGCTGAATCATTAATAGTTGAGCATCATACAATGTTGTTAATACTGTGTACAATGTATTCCAAGTTCTGCTCATTTCACTTTGCATCAGTTCATAATACAATCTTTCCAGGTCTTTCTGAAATCTACCTGCTCTTCATTTCTTATTTACACAATAGTATCCCATTAATTCATATACCACACCTTGTTCAGCCATTCCTCAATTGATGGGCATCCCCTGATTTCCAATATTTTGCCACCATGAGAAGAGCTACTATAAATATTTTTGCTTGTGTAGGTCCTTTTCCCTTTTTTATAATCTCTTTGGAATACAGACCTAGTAGTAGTATTGCTGCATCAAAGGGTATATGCACAGTTTGGTTGACCTTTGGGCATAGTTTCCAATTGCTCTCCACAGTGGTTGGATAAGTTCACAACTATACCAACAGTGCGTTAGTGTCCTAATTTTTTCCATTGAAGTATTATGCTTAATTTTGCCAGTTAGGTGAATCTTGTTTGTTGTCCTAGTTCCTTTGCCTTCTGGAATATTATGTTCCATGATTTCCATTCTGTGTAATACTGATTGTGGCTCCCCAATATTTGAATTGTTTCTTTCTGGCCACTTGAAATACTTGACCAGTTAGTTCTGTAATTTGGCTGTAATGTTCCTTGGAGTTTTTATTTTGGAATCTCTTTCCTGAGGTGATAGGGAGATTCTTTCAAAGCCCATTTTCCCCTCTAGCTCCAGAATATCAGGGCAGTTTTCCTTGATAATTTCTTGAAATATGCTGTCCAGGTCCTCCTTTTGATTATGGATGGCTTTCAGGTAGTCCAGTGATTCTCACATTGTCTTTCTGGATCTATTTTCCAGGTTGGTAGTTTTTTTCCAATGAGGTATTTTATGTTTTCTTCTATTTTTTTCATTCTTTTCCATTTGTTTGATTAATTCTTGATGTCTCATAGAGTCACTAGCTTCCGCTTGCCCAATTCTAACTTTTAAGGAATTGCTTTCCTCAGTTAAAATTTGTACTTTTTAATGAGTTGTTTTCTTCAGTGGATTTTTTTGTCTCCTTTTCCATTTGGCCAATTTACTTTTTTAAGCAATTGTTTTCTTTTTCCAAGCTGCTGACATTTTTTTTCGTAATTCTCTTGCATCATTGTTATTTCTTTTCCCAATTTTTCTTCTGCCTCTCTTATGTGATTTTTAAGTTCCATTTTGTGCTCTTCCTTGAATTCTTTCTGGGCTTGAGAACACTTTCCTGTTTTTCTTTGCGGTTTTGCCCATAGATGTTTTAACATTGTTTTCCTCTTCTGACTTTGGGTCTTGATCTTCCCTGTCATAATAACTTTCTGTGGTCAGATCCTTTGCTGTTGTTGTTGTTGTTGTTTTGCCCATCTTTTTGACCTTTTGCCTTTCTTTTTATCAAATTAAATTTTTTTTAAATTTATTTATTTTTAGTTTTCAACATTCACTTCAACAAGATTTTGAGTTCCAAATTTTCCAAATTTTCTCATTCCTCTCCCCACCCCAAGATGACATAATTCTGAATACCCCTTCCCCTAATCTGCCCTACCTTCTATCTCTGCCCCCACTTCTCTTAGCCCTTTCCCCTTCTATTTTCCTATAGGGCAGGATAGATTTCTATACCCCATGTCC